GGGGTGCGATGCTGGATGTGACGCCGTGCTCCCTGGCCGTCTGGAGCCCGACACCACTCGCAGTTGGCCGGCGTCGGTCTCGGCAGAGCCGGGTCTGGAGGAGCCGTGTCTCCCTCCGACGGTGACGCACGGCAGATGAGCCCGCCCACTCAGACGCCAGAGCTCGCCACCCTGTGGCACCGCTTCAGCGCGTGTAGGGGGGGGGGGGGGAAGGGCGGCTGGGGCCAGTCCGGACCAGTGCCAGCTCACGGGACGCCGATGGATGGACGGCTGTTTGCCGTGGGTCCTCTCCATCGTCGAGCAGGGGACGTGTACCCGGCGGCCCGTCAGCCAGTGTTTCACGGTGCGGCCGAGCACGTTCCAGGGCGAATGGTGTGCGGCTAAGGGCGGGCGGAACCCGGTGGTCGGTCAGAAAAAAGGCCGTACTGCATCCCGCAGATATAGATGAACAGTCTGACGCAAGCGTGGTAGTTCCCTTATTCGACCGAGAAAAACAAATGGAGCAGATTTTTGTACAACGGTCCCATCTGCGTCTCCACTGGCCCAGTGTCTTGGCAACTGTGTTACACCATAGTGTCGGGACGTGCTGTCGTCGGCCAACATCTTTCGTCATTGCGGCCAGGCTCCAAGGCGAAATGAAGAAGGCGCAACGTAGCGCGCCCGTGCGCATTACATACTGTGCGTGTCGGTGCGCATTGCATACTGTTCGCGATGGACACTCTGATCGTTCAGTGCAAATATTAGATGGCTGAAAAGTCGCTGGAAGTTGCGCGACTGCTTTCAGTACTCGTTCCATTCGTCAATGTTGGATAGGACGCGCCCTCCGTTCATCACGTGACTTATCCCACCTTTCCCCGCCGGAGGTCTTAATATGGTTGAATTACTTGGATGAAAAAAGGTGGTAAAAACCGACCCCCATGGCGCAACTTAACGATGGTCGGGAAGTAAACCAAGTTTTGGCTCAGGTCTTTTGATGACTCAAGCTAGTTTTGTAAGGCGTAAGTTTCACGTGAATGCAGAATCATGCAGTTTGTGTTTGCTTCTCACCCACGTTTACGGCCGACTACGTTCAGGCAAGACAACGTGATCCAAAGGAACGATAACATCCAAAACAGCCATGTGTGCGATTACTTTTTTCCGCACGACTGGATGATATGCAATTTGCCCCTAACCTGCGAACTTTATGAAATACTTCCCTGTTTTCTTCTGTTTCATTTATATTCGTGCCGACGGGCTGAAGTATAAAGCCCCATAACTAGCCGAAAAAGACGCTGTAATCGTCATTTGGTATTCATTATGACATGGCTCGCTTATACGCGTCCTGCAGTACTCACGTAGCATGTAATGTGATTTCCTGATCTGTATTTCATATGGCCATGCATTTCGAAGAGTGTGACACTAACATATCAGCTACATTGAAAGGATGTGTCCACGCGCCGGCTCCCACATGAGGAAACCCAGCCGTGCTGGAGCGGCTGTCCTTGTTCACCGATCCAAGTTCGATGCGGAAGATGTGCGCAACCTTGTGCGAATAACAAGCAAATAGCGATTTAACTTTCGGGAGCATAGTCCGAGATGAATGCCCTACAGTACACTTTCAGGAGACATATTATCGCAGCGAGACCCACGAAAAAGGACGGATTATCCGACCACAATGAACTGTTCACATATTTCTGGGTAAATACCACGTTGCGCAACCATCATGGCCTTCAGCACGAATTTGCAAGCTACAGTGACTCGACAAAAATCATCTGGCCCTGAATGCTCGGCTATCCCAAGATCAGATGACCAGAATGTAAATCCACAATCACGTCAGTGGAAACAATCGCTCCAGGCATTCAAAACCCGTATCGGGTTTCAAACGCATCTATGCCATCAACCATCACTCGACCTGCCCCACCTAGCGTGCAGCCAGTGGGCTGGTGGTTTGCTCTGACTTCCACCGACGTGCGTCCAGCCATGCACGGAGGACGACAGTGCTCCACAACCCCACCCACGAAGATCCTGTGATATCAGGTGAAGGCACGCCAGCTGCGGCAATGCATCTTCTTAGTACGCGTTACAGTAAACGTAGTGAGGGTTCGTAAATATTGCCGATATTATCGGAAGCGTATAACTACACCAGAACTTATCAATCATTGTTAGTCAGCAAATATAGATATATCAATCATAATTCTGCGCCCCTCCGACACCAGAGGTTCAAGGTTCGATTCCCGCGGCGCCCGTGCTTCCTGCCAGATTGAGGCAGGCGACACCACAAAGACTCAGCCGCTGAGAGCCTCGTAGAGCCCAAATGACAGCATATTGTAATCAGGATACTTTAGAGTACAACGTTCAGGCCAGCATGGTAGAGGCGCCAATACTTGATCAAAGAAGTGCACTATTACTAGCAGTAGCAACTGTCTCCAGAAATTTAGCTTGCGTTTCAGAGACGAGCGCGCACCCCGCCGCTAGATGCGCTCATTCTTTAAAAAGGAATGTGACGCACGCCGTCGCACACTTTTTAAGGAGCACCAGCGACTGCATTTGCCATAATAGCGCTCAGGGGCCACGGTACAGTCGGGATGCGCCCAATCGCCGTTTCAACCGCCGTTTAACGACGTCTTTCATCTTCGCCAAACTCCACACCGCTCACAATCCTTCAGCCGCCAGTGACAAATGTTCCGGAGGGTAATGGCCATCGGTCGATGTATCGATGAGATCACTGTTGCGACCTTCAGTGTCGCCCCCTAGAGACTGAGATCCGTGAATATTTTGCAGCAGATATGAAATCCAGTCCTTCGTCATCGAGCGCCAATGTCTTTAACCACGTTTCTAACACCCTCCCATGTGACGCTGACAACCACTTGCACTTTATTCAGCGCACTGCAAATCACGCCTTATAGTACGAGCCGTTTGCTTCCACCACCGAGCCGCTCCCAGATTGGACCGCTGCATGCACGGCCTACCGTCAGGATTGTCGGCGTTAATCGATGGGCTTGTCTGATGATCATGTCCGCGGCGCCTCATGCTCGTCTAGTTTCTCCGATGTCTGATTTGCTGATTTGTGTTACAACGTTCTACGTCACGACCACGGAGGTCCACGTCACGGTATTCCGTTCATAGTTGCTGATTTCAGTCCCAGACGCTGGATGTCATCCCTCATCTAGCGTTCTTTTATTCGTGGAGTTTTTTTGTATGTAAAATGCAGGGCATTGTTGACCAGATGTTTCAAAAATTGAAACAAGAATCCACTTCCTCATCGTTCCAACATGCCTCTTTCCGGACTTTCCCAGATATTTCTTTTGCATCGTACAACTATTGCTACTAGTGCATAGATATATTAAAGGCGAACAAAATCCAACAGTATACTGCTTTCGGTTGGCTTGGTTTTTTTTTTTGAATTAGAGCCCTTTCGACCAGAAATGATCATTTCAGAGCCATGGGATGAAGGAAAATGGTTAAAGGTGGAGCAGACTGGCTTGCGCCTGGGGGGCCAACCGCCGGGCTTTAACCAGCGCGTGCGCGCTGGGTACCCGGTCGGGGTCCACTTCCCACGGGGCTCTCGGCCCACTCGTGGCTGACGCATGAAGCCTGCCCCGGACAAGCGGGGTGTCGCGAGGATGCAGGATGAAGCGAGATAGAGGATAAGAGGGACGGATGCCTGTATACTGCTTTCAATAATCCTTCAGGCAGCGCGTTTCCTTTTCTGACTTGGCTTGGCTGCTGTGTCCTGCCCAACCCATTGCCACATACGCTGTCAGACCTGCCGCACACGTCTTCTTAGTCTCCTTGTTCGTCAATATTGCAGTGATTGTATCATTATCAGACCCAAAACCACGGGGGTCCTGTACCCCTCCCAGCTGCAGATCGAAGCCCCCACTCGTTCTGGAGCTGACCGGCCATCATCTACTACTGAGTCACCAATTGCCACTGAAAGGTACGTGGCGGCAGCGTACCCGGCAAGAAATACACGCGTATATCTTAGCAAGCCAGACATCGGCAAAATAGGCACAGCTGCACTGATTGATAGCCGTGCCCGTCTTCTGAGTCTGTAGCCCGATATTTCCGGCAGAATGACCCCCAGCCATGTCAGCGCCCCTCGTCTAGGAACGTCCCTAATATTTTGTGCCTGATAGGAGCCAACAACACCAGAGTCCACCTTATCATTCCAACTGGAGGCAAAAGCGACACGTTGAGAACTTACTACTGAAACAATGGCATCGCCACCATCGTCAGACGGAAGGCACACCGAGCCCAGAGCACAGTCTCCCAGGCCCCGCACACAGGAGCGCGTGCCACCAGCCGGCGGGGGCGCACCCACCACGGCCCGTACAACGCTCTCCTGCTCCGGTTGTACGTTAAGATGCCACACGGATTTTTTTATTTCAACAAATAATAAAATTTAATATTAAATAAAAAATACAATCATTTAAAAAAATATAATCAAATAATAATTTTTAGCAGGAATTGGCATTTACTGTCGAGCTTCGTGAGACGTTCTTGATATATGTTAATGACTTAAGAAATGCATACAATTACCTTGAACCATGACCGCCTGATGAAAGGATATGATAGCATGTACTGTCATGTCGTTCTTTCTATTTGAAGGCGGTTATCTGCTGCAGATCTCTAAAAAAATACGCTATGCAGAATTGTGTGTGGTGTCGTGACTGACAAACATAAGAGCTAATCTGAGACATATCAATATCACGTCTTCAAATATTTGCAAAAAGGGCAAAGAATAGCTGCTATGCACTACATTTATGGTTTATATGAGAGGCATGGATATTATGAAATATCATACAGGCCCTTTCCAGCCACCAATTGGTAAGTGTTTTCCAGTTTGCGTTGGATGGCTGTAACTGAAGTGACTTCACCACTGATTCTGACTGGGGGCTCCTTAGCACGCGCTTCATAGTCACCAACATGACACGCGGGTTAGCCTGGAAAAGGATCGTTAGCATCATCAGTGAATGTCACAAGAAGTCACACAGTAATAATCAATGAATGACTTTTACCTAAATGCTATAAAAGCATCTCCTTGTTCGCCGCCCACAATGTGGACCCCTCCGTCTGGTATGGACAGCCCCCGGAAGAACTGTCGAATGTCGGCCGAGTTGGCCGACCACGGTAGATTCTGCAGCCTTATGATTACGCTCATGTTCGCAGAGAATGGGACAACGCTGGCGTCGGGAGCTACGTGGAGATCGCCGATCGGGTCAGGCCACTCCTCTTCTCACCAGCACCGCCGATCACCATGCACTGAAACAGAAACAGAAACCATGTCAGTTTCCAGCATCAAACAGCAGTACAATTATGATCAAATTTGAAAACAAAAACAATGCAAGTTGTGATTATAATCAGTAATGCAAATCAGGTTGCTTACAAAACTGGACTCACAGATCATCGGACTACTTGACCTGCAAGCTCCCTTCCAATTTTCTAGTCTGCCTTTCATCACACTGGACCAGATAGAAGTCCACTGCTGCAGCTTTCATATACCAAGGTGGATAATTTGGGGTACTTCCACCACAACAGTTCTGATATTCAATGGCTATACTTATGTTCAGCAGTTTTAGGACACAGGTTCAGATCCTTATCAGTACCAACACCATCTCAGAAGGTTAATCACATATTTCAATCAGATTATTCTATAAAGTTGTTGTTCCTGTTTTTTTTATTTAATGGAAAACATTGCAAATACCTTGTGATAAATTGTGTCAGAAGAGGGATATTACAGATTACTGAGTTTCTGTTAATTTCTGCTGGTTTTAACCAGTAACAACCAGAGAGCAGCAAAAACTTGTTTCAGCTGGCTGAAATGCCAAGCCTCTGCAGGTACCTATACACAGTATCTGCAGTCTACAGGTTTGGAAAGTGTAATCATTGTTGTGCAGAACACCTCTAAATACCTGTCAATATCCATGAAATACTGTAACTACTGGGAGGCAAAAAGATCTTACAAAGTAGGAACTGGTCTCAAAAAATATGTTGTGCCAGATGTATGTGCATCATTGATGAACACTGCTCTCCCTGGACCAAGATCAGGCCAAATTGTCCTTAATTTAAAGCAAATTAAGGGTGAAATATTTTTGCAGCATTCTCTCATCAAAATATCTCCCACCAAATTACCTTCACAAAAGTGTAATTCCTTGAAACATTGGTGCGTGGAATGAAGTTAGCACAAACCATGCACTGAACTTACAGTGTACATGTGATGAAAGCATTGCTGCTTCACTAAACATATCAGGCAAAATGTTAATATCTTTAAGCCTGACTAGGGACATGATGCAAACCAAAGCATACCACACTGGAAAACCATGATACACCAAAAAAGCTCAGCTTAGGAGCAGCATCCCTGCAACAATTTCAGGAAATGCAAGCCATAATTCTGGAGTCCCACATTGGTGCACAGTAACTATCAATTTCAGTGGAAAGACAGCCAACATTTCATGGAACTGTGATGTTCATGCAGAAAAATCAAGAAAAACTGTACAACACATTTCACCTTCACATTCTGTAAAAATCCTATATATATATATATATATATATATATATATATATATATATATATATACATATATCATATTTTGTGATGTTATCAGTTGAAGCACATCAAAACCCTTCAATGACTTCTATCATCCGCTGCAGTCAGCGGAGTGACTGACACTCATCCCTTTTGGCAGGCATCTGTACTTGCACTATCCATGTATATCAGTTGAGAGTGCTGCCTGTCTCCATTGTTCGGCTGGGACGCATGGGGCCTCGATTCAAGTACGGTAGTTGGAAGGGGGGGGGGGGCATGAGGGTTTTGCTGTGCTTATGCCATCTCCAAAGCTAGGTGGCTGTGGCAATACCGGGTAGAGCATGAGTAGCATGACCATGTCAGCGTGAGAAGCGCGATCATGGTGGAGCGTGAGTAGGTGGCCATCTGTAGCATATTTGTTTGCATTCTTTGCCCGTGATTTAAACCCTGCTCAACCCCAAACATGTTTTGTGAAACTATGTCCCTGAGTCAGTTACCTGTTGGTGCTTTTGGGAGAACCACATAAAATGATCAGCCTAGATCTATGCCATAGCATGCCTTTTCCACAGACTGCCCACTCATATATGTGTACATGTGTTTCACGTGATGGAGTTTGAGATTGTGTTGTTCCAGTGTGTCATGTGAGTACTGACATTTTCTTTCATTTGAAGTGCTTTTACATGAATTGTTACATATGAAATGTAGCTATTCTGTTGATCATCACCCATTGTACAGCAGTCTCCCAATGATGAGCTAAGTAACAGTGTAATGGCCCACAGCACTTGGAAAATTTGTACTCTGCTACCAGAAATTCTTTAGGAGTTTGCAACACTCATTTTAAGTTGGTAATTTTAAAAAATCAATACAAGCTGGCCTGCCCTGAGCTTGGTGCATGTATGTCCCATGTTTAGCACTGATGTCCAAGCAGTGTGGGAAAAACCTCCATTTTCTGGTGGATGTGGCACCAGGAAATTTTGTACTCCAGGGCTCTTGACTGGTAAGAATGACAGTTTTTGTACTCCAGACAAATGCTGCAGTCACCCCACAAAGCAGACACCACTGCAAATGTATGAGCCTGAGTATAAGTACCAAGGCAGACAGCTTTGCTTTCTTGATAGCCAGGAGGGTTCATGAACTTTGCTTTCATAAAGTGAGTTATAACTTTTATTTGATTTCCAGGGACCAAAAACATATGGAGCACCACGAAATGGAAACAAGCATCTGCAATCCTGCAGGAGCTGGCCAATCCAGGGCATTCATGTCAATGTCCTTCATCATTGTATTACATGGGTTAGATGCACTTGTACAAGTCTATGCAACTCCTGAATGATGATGACAACTCATGTGATTTACTTCTGTGGGAATGAAATAAACTGAAATATATGTGCTTGTTTTAAGTACCTACCGCTGCCACATACCTCGCATGTCACTACCTGTGGGGAAAATATATGGCGCACCTGAGTGAGTAAGACCGCATTCTCCACGACGCACACACCTACCGATACCTTTCAAGAAACGCACAAACATATCACGGCTCTGGCTCCCACCACGCCACGAGCCCATCGCCTCCCGTACCCGAAACCAACGGCAGCCCAGCCTCCTGCAACTGACGAGTGCATTTTCGAGCTGTGAAGGTCCGCGTCGCAACAGACACCTACAACAATATTTGTTCGAACAGAAAACCACTAGCAGCACCAAAATCATTGATGGCACATCTTTTTCAACTAGGTCATTCAAAGACTCGCCGAGCAAGAAGTCCAGCATGCCAACTATGCCCTTAACTTACCTCATATTAAGATAACATTTTAGCGATTTTACCAAAGGACGCGCATCTTGCAAACAGTTTGGTGGGAAAATTCCAAAGATTGCAGCATTGCACATCCTTTTCAAAGCACTTGTTTCATTCCTGCTCCTGCCATACCAGCCACCAATCACCATCCAACTTGCAATTCAACACAAAATCGTAGCATTCAAACACACCACATATTGGCACTTTTGAGATAGAATCATGACATTAAATGGCACCCAAATATCACGTTTGTGGGTGGCACTTTTGGTGGTAACGGCTTCTTTTGGGTTCTTAAATGTCATCGGGAATTACATTCCCAAAATGGGAGTTTATGGCATGCGGCATTCCAAAACTTGCTACTATTGTATAAATGATAGTACATCAACCACTTTTTCAGAAATTGGTAAATGCCGGTCTTTGAAGATTCGAGGGTATCTTACTTGTTTTTAGCAAAGTTATCCAAATTTAATTGAAAAATTTACATGTCTTGGTATCGCCCAGATACGGGCCCTCCTCAGAGGGTGTTGAAATGGCATGATATGCCTTAGAATGAGAAATATCTATAGATTTGTAGTACAGGTACTGCATTATCTCGGCATTGTCTTGCGCCCCCAGAAGATAAGATATATTTGTAGGTGGAAAATAGCAACTTGAAATGCATGACTGTAAAGCTCTATGATTTTTCTACCACAAACTTAACAATTTGTGTTGGTGCAACAGCATAAATGGCTTTCCTTAGACTATTCATCACAGCCTGTCATTTCAGGACCCACCCGTGGTACTTGTAGTTGGTTGGCCCATTGACGAGTGCTATAATGCCATCACAATGTCTGTGAATGCGCCAGAACTCCTGTGCATGGTTTGGTTGTTTGTCTTGATGTGGTGGGAGTCAGGAGGGCAGAGGGTGAGTGAAGCTGCTTGGGATTATGTGCATTGTAGCTGCGAGTTTGAGGTATTCAGTGAGGCAAAGTGGAATTCGTTGTATTCCATTTTCACACAGCGTGCATCCACACTTCTAAAATTACTTGGGATTTAGTTTTGGAATGCTATTAAGTCATTCCAAAAAAGGTAAATAAATACTGGGGGACTGATCTATAAATGTTTACCACTGCAGTGCAGAATCACCTTGCTGGTGTGCTGGTGCAGAATCACCTTGGTATAACCTGCTCTACCTACAGCATGGTGGGTAGGTATGTAGGTACTAAGATATATATATATATATATATATATATATATATATATATATATATATATATATATATATATATATACAACATTAATGCTAGGCTTGGGTTTCCCATGTGGGATCAAATATAAGGCTGGCCTCTTTTCAGCCTGTGGTTATAATTGCTGTAACCTGACAGGTGGCAATGCTGCCATGTTCCTTGCTGTCAGGCATAAGGTCTTGCAGTGACACTATTAAAATTGTCCCTAGATAGGATCATAGGGAACTTGGAGAAGAGGAGAGGGATAACAGGAGGTGCAGGAAGAGAGGAGGAGCAGAAGTGGAGGAGTGGAAGGAGAAGAGTGACAGAAAGAGAAGGTGAGGAACTGAAAGAGGAGAAGAGCAGAAAGAGAAGGATAGGAAGAGGAACACTTTTGGTATGCTTATATTAATTATGTAAAGGCCAAAAGGACAACATGTTAGTGATATCACATACATAAGGCTTTCATAGTCAGTTGCAGCTGCCTAAGACTCATTAAAAAACCAGGGTGTGATGCACAGTGGTTGTCCGCAATTCGGTTTGTCAGTAAGCAGAGGATGCACCTGATTTATCATTTTGATATTGTGTAAGTTTGCATGTAGATAGGAAATGATAAGTAACTGAGCTCTGTATGATGCACCTGTGAATGCATATGTATAAAGTTTTGTTATTAACCTCTCTAACTGTATATTTCTTATTAACATGTACCATTAACCAATCTTTGCATGAATAGGTGACTAGCAGCACTACAGGGATATGGATGGGATCAGTGTGGCACCCTCACTCACAAGAAGTGCTCTGTTCCACTGAAATGCAAAATTGCATGCTGACACTAATTTTTGCCAGAAAAACATTGGGAAAATGTTGACCCATTAAAGGCAGCATGTGATGTACTCCAAGCAAGGCCCATTGTGCAGACACTCATTCCACATTAGACAGACCTCTGCTTGCAGGCATGTCTGTACTCCGACCACAAAAATTTTTGTACTCCGCCACCCGCCAAAAAAACTAAATTTCCCACCCTGGTTCAGAGGAGTCCAATAAAATCCCAATAGTATGGGTGAAATACATAGGCAGTAGGTGTAAATCAAATCAATGGGAAAATACACAAGACACAGAAGACCAGCTCCAATATAACTCACTGAATGGCACACTACATTTGGCAGACTACCTGACAATGTTGAGCTTTTGTACCTGGAATGACTTCTTTGAGGACAAGCCAGCATTATCCAGGGAAGGTAATTTTCAGCTGCACTAACAGGGCGCAAATAAGGGAGGGACTGAAAAATGGTAAACGAAATAACAATTCATGGATGAACTGCCCATATCACTGGCAAAGAAACATCTCGGGCTTGCATGTGCAGAGGAACAATTATTCAAAGAAAGACTCAGAGTTAATAATTAATGCATACATATGGCAACCATTCCGCTCACACGAATCGCAGTCAATAAGCAATAATCATAGGAAAGCTCCAGTGCATACCTAACGCAGCAGACCATGCGTCCCGATTCCAGGACGGTTCAGTACGTATTGTGCACGCGATGAGATCAACCAATACTATTTTCTGGAGACGATCAACTATTTAAGCGACCTTTAGACTGCATCAAATGGCAAAGTACATGAAAACGTATCCCGAAAATCGGCAACTATCCCACACAAACACTGACGCATCCCCCGCGACGCTTAACGGGGAAGCGAAAATGGCGGAGTTTAGTGTTGGTTTGCAATTTCGATTCCAGACTTGGTAGCATCTTAATTTCTGCGTTTGAAATACCAAAAACATAAAATAAATCAGAAAACCAATTCATTTGGTAAAATTGCTTCTTAGGAAGGTTGTATATGGTAATGAGAGGAATGTTTCCCAACATCCGCGTGATGTCTGGTACCACCTATCTTATTTTTTATACAAAAATAAATAAATGTGAAATGCGCTGGAAATTTGTATGAAGACCCCGACGCAACATGTGTTGAATGTGCTCATGTGCTGATGTTTTAGGCAACTCATATTCACCGACAGCACTATCATATTTTCACGCTCGCTATCGCCATTTTGTGTCGCCAATTCTTCGTTGGATGCGGACAGCACCCTGGTAAGTCAATGTTTGGGGCATATTGTTGCCGTTTCATGATCTCCAGCTTTGTCTCCACCGACTCCCACGCATGCTCTCCCGAGGAGGAGACGATCGCGCGCTCCCCAAGGCGTATCGTTGCAAAATTCCCCACAGAGGTCGCTCACAACTCCCTACGCTAGCGCCAATGGTGAGAAAATCATGAAGGTGAGCCTGAAGGTATTGTCAAAGAGGGCGCTTACACTGAATTTGGGGCGGTGTGGACGCGTGTCGTCGCCGCTGGATAAAAATGCATGTTTTGATCTATTGTCCAGCGTCACTTTCGTTACGGGCCAAAGTCTGACGCAATGCACACATGATGCATACAGCTCTGCCTGGTCCATTCGTTGCGTCGGACTGAGTATCATGTCCTGATCCTTTCCCTGGGAAGCCGTTACGCCGAGATAACAGAGACGGCCTCTGAGCTAGGCACAGTGGGGCGTCTTCATCATTTGGACCTTGGTGTTAAATGGTAGTCAGTGGCTGCTATGATGACGGGAAGTCCGGGAAATCCTCGTGGGGGAACCCCCAAAAGCTTGCTGGGCCGGTTGGATTTTTTTAACACCTAGCTGATGCCTACCTGATAATGTTTGGGGCTTCAGAAGAACTTTGAAACACTTGTTTGTTATAAGACCTTCATTGGTATTATTCCCTGTCACTCAAGATGCGCATCGGGTTAGGAAACCGATTAAAATTGAATTGTAATAAGCTGGTCGGTAATTTCCCCAGCTGGCACTTCTGCCGTGAGGCAACTGATTTAAAGCGATGACATTTGCGCTTAAAACTTATAATTTTGTCAGCGTTCGGATCGGATCTGTGCCTGGCGGCGATCGCACTGAGCGGCAGCCGCCAGCTTCCATCTCCGCCGCGGCATCCGGCGCTGCAGCGCTGCGGCACCGATCGAACGCGCTGATTTATGCAAGTACGCGCCAAGGTCCCTCAACATTGGGGGCAGAAGACGGCGATATGAGACGCGACCTTGCGCGGGCGAGAGGCTTCGAATGCGGAAGTACGGGAAGAAAATGGTAACGAAAGTGACCACCGACTTCGTAGGCTTTTATTCCCAATGCTTAGGGATAGGCCGTGCGTTGGTTTTTCTTAGGGACCTGAGGGTCCCACGGAAAAGCGAAGGATTCCGTACATATGAGGGACCCCTGTGACGCCGGAAAAGCCCCGGAGCTTCGCAGTATTTACCTGGATCCCGGAAATATTTCGAAACCTCAAGAACTTTGCGTACCCCAGATGCCTCAACAGGATAAAATGCACGGAATGGATTTACCTTCATCCGTTATCCGAGTTTCGGCGAATAAAATTCCAAGGATAACATATGGGCAAGGGGCTGTGGGACCTTTTTGCGCCCCATCGCTGTGTCAAGCCCCGAAAATTGCATTGTCCTCACGTAGGCAGAATCCTGGACCCGCTCGTGTTCGGCTCACCGCGCCATAACGTTATGCTTTAAATCTCGCGCGCCACGCTGATGCACCAAACGCGCCACTACGACGGCTTTTGCGCTTCTAGAGCTCTTAATGGGCATGTTCCTGTGATGCAGGCCAATAAATCCCGCCATCTTGAGTCAATCCGGCCGCAATTTGGTTACCGATCATAATCTGATCCGGAACAATCCATCAGAATGCGAGTATTTCACAGAAGTTTCACCAGATCATATTTCGGCTCATTTTATCCACATGCCACACGTTGTTTTGTGCGTATAATTGCTTCTTCGTCGCTTGGCATGCAACTTCTCAGCATGGTCTAATCCATTTAGGTTCACAGCTCTTTTGATCAAATTATTTCGCAAGCTTGGCGTTTCGGGACAATTCCGATCCCGTCTTATCCGAACCATGGATTAGTCGTAAAGCTCGGCATCTGCACTGCAGTCTATGAAGAACTCTTCTGGCCTTCCGTAGTTACATGTCGAAGCCAAAAATGTGCACAACCGTCGCTGTATAGATTAGACGGTTTGCGTAAAGAATGGCACCGAATGCAGGAGATTATAGTTTCCAAATGCTGTACGTGTCTCGACGAAGTTTTAATGGGCCCACTCGTACCGCCTATTTGATTTGTCCACAATTCTGCTTCCGTTTGTAGTGCACAATGTAAATATCCGCACTGTGAGTCCCCCAGCGTTTTTTTTTTGTGTTGCGCGAGCGTATTATAAACCGCGGACCCTCTGTTGTCAACGCCTCGCCTTGGATGTTGATACGGTGCGGCTCACGCCGCAACTGCCGCTCCGTTAAAGGGAGTGCGCCATATTTGCGTAAGGTTTTGAGCTGCAATAGCCGTCTTGAAGATCATTCGGTGCAGTTCACAGCAACGACAAACTCTCACGACAAACCCTTCTAGTTTCTGAGCTACGCGATGTGCGGACTTACTTGGGGGAGACGTTTCAAAGCCAGCTAAGCATCCATGACGCCACCATAACGCCATTCAAATCCTGCTATTCCGTTGGCCATGCGTCGATCAGGGCCGACCAAAATACAATGCTCGAATTGCTCATATCTGGCGTTCGTGACACGATTTCCAGATATAGTGGCCCTCAATTGACTCAATCAATGTTGTGTAAGGTACGGTGACGTAATCAAGTTATGATGCATTTACGGACACAGTTACTAAACAGAGGGGTTGTTTGTCTAGAGCAGCCTTTTTCTTTTAAAAAATATACCAATGATGATAAGTGCGCCTATTTCATCTTATCTGATGCTTGCTTCATTATCTTCAAATGCGGAACATTCCCTTTAGAAGCTGGCACCCAGCCAGTAACTATGTGTTGAGGAATGCACTCTGCGCGGAGTCTTGCTGGTATGCGTGTAATGCCGGCTGGATTGGACGACTGTGTCGTATCTTAAACAGCTGCATGGCTAGGTATAGCGTCTCCACGTCTGCGTACCTTCAGTGATCGACACACTTGCTTCCGCCTTGCGTTGCATTGATTGTACTGTGCCGCCGTAAAACGGCAAGGGTTAGGCCTGCCATGGAAACGTCTTCCAGTCTCGTTTTTTTGTGTTGTGTAGGACAAACAATGTCCCGATAAATTTAGGAGGAGATGCCTCAGCTTTCTGCTTCTGTAACTGGAAGAATTGGCCACTGCCCCTCGGTTTCTCGTGGTGCTTGTTTCATGACAGAAGTCGTCACAATAACCTTGCATTGTATTGCTGTATCGTATCCAACCAGACGAAATACCAAATTTGAATTTGCACCTAGCCTTTTCATTAAGCTCGTCTTGGGTGTGTAAAGATGAAAAATGGGATAAAGAATCTGCGATGTATGAAGGAGTTAAATATAAATGGCTTTTTGTGCGTTGCCTTTGCATAGCACTGTCTATTTCATGCCAACAGTAGGGTTGTATGGGTACCGCATCGATATTGTGCCGAATTCATCGGTAATGTCTGACTTTTTCAGGGGCACCAGTGATGGAAGGGCAAGAAAGCATGACCGACATCCAGAACTACCTGGACAACTTTCAAAAGGATCTCCAAACCAACACCAATGACCCAGGTGCGTCTTTGCTCTTGGGTCGTACCACGCAGTCAGTTCCACGTGCGGTTGTGCGTGCGCCATGTGCCGCCTGGAAGTGGCGTCGTTTTCTGCGCACGTTCATCCACACCTTGCAGGTCGTCCCAGGCAGCGTTCGTGTCGCAATGCCGCTGCTGTGTACTGGGCGAGCGTGTCACGCTCCGGCCCGCGTTCGGATGAGATGGACGCGCTGTGGACGGGGATCGCTGACTGGAGACCGTGTGCACGAGCAGCCGGCGGCGGAGGCGAAGTGGGCCAGGTGTACATGGACCAGTCTGGCCAGTACTTCATCAGGGAGGCGCCGCAACAGCAGCAACAGCAGCAACAACAACAGCAACAGCAACAGCAGCAGCAGCAGCCGGAGACTAACCTGCGCCGCTCGAAGGTGAGCAGGCCGTCGCCGCGCGTGACCGTGGCAGGGGTGCGCCAGGCTCGGCCGCAGTCCTCTGAGAGAGAGCCCCTGTCGCGGGTGGGCAGGTCCAATGGAGACCACCCTACCACCCGCCATGTGCGGTAGTCGTGTTGCTTGTCTTCGAGTTGGTCTCGTCACCGGAGCCCATCGCTTCGGAGTGGTTTTCTGGCCCATCATCGCCACAGCGGAGGGGAGCACCGCTGTCCGCCGGCTGGCGAGGGCGGTCCGCCGCCAGCCGTGCCGCCCCACCCGGCCGCCGGCGGTGCTGACGGCTGCTCGCGCCTCTGCCGACAGCGGGTGCGCTCCTCGACGGCGGTGAGCGCCGCCGGCGACCCGGGCGTGGTGCAGCTGGCCGGCGCGCAGGCCGTGGCCGGCGCCGGCAACTACCAGACGGTCACCATCGTGCCCTCGGACGCCAACTCGGACGAAGTCAGCTACGTCCTCATCGTGCAGGTGGGTGCGCTGGCGTCGGGTAACGGGCGCACAGGCGCGGCAGGTGTTCAGAACGGCTTGGCGGGTGTGGGGCCGGCTTCTGGAGCCACGCGGAGGAAGTGGGTATGGTGACTGCAGAAACTGGGCCTGACCTTCAATGAGGAGTCTTTCGAAATCTAATATGGCGTTTGGGTTTAAGGCGTCCGAGAGCCAGAAACTAGGAATGGAGCCTCAGAGAAATCCTGTCCCGTCTTTGCGTCTTCCATTTTGGGGGGGACATCGCCGGCAGTTGTTTGTAGTGTACTTCGGTTAACTTACTGAGGATGAAATTCCTTGCTTGCGGTGGAGATTCGGTGAACGCTGCAAATGATGTAGCCTCAATTCTTCCTTTCCTCTTCTGTTTAATGGCTGTCACCAGTTCGTGAGAAAGCTTAACGGTCGTCTTGATGATTATTATTAATATATGATTGTCATCCAACGAACTGCGAGGCGGCTTTAAGTTTGGGCACAGTTTTGTCGGGCAGACTGTTTGGGAGAGAGCAAAGCACCTATTTCGTGGCTGCATACTCACAGTTCAGCGGCTGGCTTGGCTTCATAATTGCCCCGCACATTCTAACACAAAGCCGTACAGTCATGGAGGGGTCCATAGCATTCGAACACCCATTGGTGATTACGCCTACGGGGACTACAAGACATTTCGCGCAAGTTAAGCTGCACATCATGCCTATTTTCGATTTCCCTGAGACCGGCGCAGCCAAGATATGGAGTGCAAAAGTGACACAAGTTATTTTGAACGGATTCGGGGGAACGGGACGCCGTCCGACTTGGGCGTGCAGACGATTGCGGCCAAGGTTCACATTACGGAACATAAGTGCTTGTATCATTCAATACTGACTGCTGTTGTCGAGCTCAACCTTTTCGAAAAACAGCTCCACTGCAAAGACGTGCGGAGCTTAAGGCGATCAGCCAGCGCAGCGGTGTGCGACGCGAACGGTAACAGCGGAAACGCTCGCCCGACCGAGTCGCGACGCACGTGACCCACGCAGGGGTGACCTTGAGCGACGGCCGGGGGCAGCCGGGTCAAGGGTCGCACCGCTCCGGGGCGCGTGACCGCGTCCGGAGGTGCGCACGAAGTCGCTCTTTCCACACGTCAGCCACCACGTGTTTGCGAGAGTCGCCACGTTTGGTGGGCGGTCGGTGCCAGCCCCGCTGTAGGGCTGATGCGCCGGTCTGAGGCGGTGCCTAGTGACGCGCCGTGACCGCCGTCCGTCTGACGAGCCGCCACCGCCGCCGGCAGCCCGACGCCGAGGAGGGCCAGAAGCAAGAGGAGGACGACGACCAGACCATCGGCGTGTACGACTTCGACGAGGGTGACGAGCAGGCCGAGGAGGTGAGACGCCTTGCGGCCGCCCGAGCCGACGGCGTCCGCTCTATTGGTCGGTCTGCTAGCCGACCGAACGTTACGATCCAAACGGCAGGCGATCATCCTGATAAATTGTTTAGCCTGAATTTAGACCAGGTGTATGCTGATATGTCTTACTGGTTTAGATGCGTTAGGCTACGGCTTAATTCCGTAATGTTCGTAATTCATGATTCAGAAATATAATACGTCATTCGTTGATGTATGCGTGTGCGTGTGCGTGCGTGTGCTTGCGCGTGCGTGTGCGTGTGGACGCGCCCCGCCTGCGGAGCGGGGTGAGCTGCCGTGTAGCGGGTCCGGTCCAGCAGAGACGCAGGACCGGTCTCGCGCGGTGTGCCGCCGGGAGCTGAGCGCCAGCTTTGGCGGCCGCCGGCAGGAGGAGTCGGGCGACGAGGAGGACAAGCGGAAGCTGTCCCGCATCGTCACCCGCAAGTCCTCGCAGACGGTGTCCCAGGCGCACATGTGCAGCTACTGCAACTACACCAGCCCCAAGAGGTCAGTCCACCCGCTGTCCCGGTGCCCTCGACGGCACTGGCTATGTGTTTATGATGCTGATGCCACGGAAATGCGTGTCATGCTTGTTTTCATAATCGGTGTTATTTAACATGTGGGTTGAGATTGGTCTAATCGTAATAAAAATATATGTTACACACCTGAAAATGGATGAGGCATTGGAAGTAAGCTTTACATTGGTTTTTATTTATCAAAGGATCATCCCTCATTGCTGAGATAAGCGTCTGCGTAGATGTCGAAGGCATTGCAGGGTCTCTCAGGATGCTGCCGATTTTTGAAAACTGCGTCTTTATTTCCCTATCCGATTTCTTCCCAGTTATCAGAGCACCCCACACGCTGCCGCCAAATGGTCGGGGTCCGAGCCGCGGCTGGGACGAGGCGTGTCCGCTCGTCCGGGCCGCGGATGGGTCGAGGCGCGCCCGCTCGTCCGGGCCGCGGATGGGTCGAGGCGTGTCCGCTCGTCCGGGCCCGCAGCTGGGACGAGGCGTGTCCGCTCGTCCGGGCCGCGGATGGGTCGAGGCGCGCCCGCTCGTCCGGGCCGCGGATGGGTCGAGGCGTGTCCGCTCGTCCGGGCCCGCAGCTGGGACGAGGCGTGTCCGCTCGTCCGGGCCCGCGGCTGGGACGAGGCGTGTCCGCTCGTCCGGGCCGCGGCTGGGACGGGGCGTGCCCGCTCGTCCGGGTCGCGGCTGGGACGAGGCGTGTCCGCTCGTCCGGGCCGCGGCTGGGACGGGGCGTGTCCGCTCGTCCGGGTCGCGGCTGGGACGAGGCGTGTCCGCTCGTCCGGGCCCGCGGCTGGGACGGGGCGTGTCCGCTCGTCCGGGTCGCGGCTGGGACGAGGCGTGCCCGCTCGTCCGGGCCGCGGCTGGGACGGGGCGTGTCCGCTCGTCCCGTGACGGGCCGTGCCTCTGCCGCCAGGTACCTGCTGTCGCGCCACATGAAGTCGCACTCGGAGGAGCGGCCGCACAAGTGCTCCGTCTGCGAGCGCGGCTTCAAGACGCTAGCCTCGCTGCAGAACCACGTCAACACGCACACCGGCACCAAGCCTCACTGCTGCAAGTTCTGCGACGCCAACTTCACCACCTCAGGTGGGTGTGTCGCCCCCCGAGCAGCGGTGTCGTGGTGGCTGGGACGTCGCCCTGGTTCCTTGCTCAAGCTGGTGGAAGGGACAAATCAGAGCAGATGAATTGCGGATATCGGAAAGGGGCGCGGTTTGTCAGTCGGTGGGCGGGCCAAAATTGGTATTGCCTGCCACCCGCGCGCTTAGTCCTATGTTCGTAGATCGCAGCTGTGTTGTGTTCTTGTTTTTCGTAGCACATTGGCACGTACCCTCGCTCACAAGCAAGCACTTGTTGAAGTTGCGTGTGCAAACGAAAATTGCCTGAATATATTTAGGCAGTTGAAATTTTACGTTCCTAACTGCCCATTGGTCTTTGTCTCCTTGTCTCAACTGTCTTTGGCCGTGTGCAATAGCTGGCTTGGTGCAATCGGGAGTCTCCCATGTTCGTTCGGCTCGTATGGGTCCAGCGCCGTGCTGGCCGCTTGGCGGGCTGCGACGGTGCTGTCTGTGTAACCGGGCGGGTCGGCCGCCTGACCGCGCCGCCGCCGCCGCCGACAGGCGAGCTGGTGCGCCACGTGCGCTACATCCACACCAAGGAGAAGCCGCATAACTGCACCGAGTGCGAGTATTCGAGCGTCGAGCTGAGCAAGCTGCGCCGCCACATGCGCTCCCACACCGGCGAGCGGCCCTACCAGGTACGCGGTGGCAGCGGCGGCCGCGGCGGATTAATGTCGGCGCCAGGGGTGGCTGCCTGTCAGAGGATTTCGGTCGGGGGGGGGAGGGGAGGCTGTCTGCCGGAGCTCGACGGGGGTTCTTGGAGAGGATTGTGCAGGGCTGGGGAGCCCGCTCACAAACATGGAGAGCGTGTCGCTCAGGAGTCTAGTTTCTCCGTGGTGCGATTCCATGGCCAGAGTACGAACAAGACGTGAAGTACCTGTGAAGCCCGGCTGGTCCTCGGATCCAGCTGGGACGGCCTGATCTGGCCGGGCTGAGCCGGTCGGCCGGCGCGGCGGGGTGAGCGGGCCGTGTCCGGCGGCCGGGGGTCCGCCCCCGCCGCGGCGGGAGGGCCGGCTCTGACGCGGCGTGACCTTCGCCTCGCCAGTGTCCGCACTGCACATACGCCTCGCCGGACACGTTCAAGCTGAAGCGACACCTGCGCATCCACACGGGCGAGAAGCCGTACGAGTGCGACATCTGCGGCTCCCGCTTCACGCAGAGCAACTCGCTCAAGGCGCACCGCATGATCCACTCCGGTGGGTGCCCGGCCGCGCAGGCCTCGGCGTCTCGGACGCTATAATGCGTCGGCCCATGTAGACTGGGACGCTGTATATCACACAATACATGCGGCAAAAGCAGCGGACCATGGTCGCCAACGCAGGCCTGGCGGTTATCTCCTATTTCGTTATATCACATTCCCATGGAGATATGCCCCTGGGTGGGAGGGCTTGCGAGTACGTTTACTGTACTCGTGCTGGAAAGTGTTGACGTTTTATGTTAAGCTGCGCTCTGTCCTTTGTGGCGACGGTGTGGCAGGACGTAGCACTCGTCGGTCTGCACCGCCGCTGTGGCCTTCTGACCGCCGCGAGATGCCCGCGTCACCCGCATCTCCGTGTCGCAGGTGACAAGCCCATCTACCACTGCGAGCTGTGTCCGACCACGTGCGGCCGCAAGACGGATCTGCGCATCCACGTCCAGAAGCTGCACACCTCCGACCGGCCCATCAAGTGCAAACGCTGCGGCAAGAGCTTCCCCGATCGCTACTCGTTCAAGGTGCGACGGCCCGGGCGGCGACGCTGCACGCTGCCAGTCTTGACGGGGGTGTCCGGTGTGGGTTTGTGTTTGTGTCGGCGGAGACCGGCTCCAGACGGTCATTGGTTGGTGTCTCGGGCTGATCTGCCGATGGGGACGGACTGACCTGGGCGGAATGCCATGGGCCTCGCGTGGATCAGCTGTGCTGGGGCCCTGGGGACTGTTCTCGCCACGAGAGCCCCTGCGGCGCAGTCTTGTCGCGATGGCCCTGTGTTTAGCTCTGTGCGTTGATCGCCTGTTGTCGCTTTTCAGCTACACAGCAAGACACACGAGGGTGAGAAGTGCTTCAAGTGCGACCTGTGCCCGTACACGTCCATCTCGCAGCGCCACCTGGAGTCTCACATGCTCATCCACACGGACCAGAAGCCGTTCGTGTGCCAGCACTGCAACCAGTCGTTCCGCCAGAAGCAGCTGCTTAAGCGGCACGTCAACCTGTACCACAACCCGAGCTACATCCCGCCGCAGCCGCGCGAGAAGACGCACGAGTGTCCCGAGTGCGGCCGCGCCTTCCGCCACAAGGGCAACCTGATCCGCCACCTGGCCATCCACGACCCGGAGGCCAGTGCCGCCGAGAAGCAGCTGGCACTCAAGCTCGGCCGCGAGACCAAGGTTTCGGTACGTGCCGGGCGGCGGCGGCGGCGGGCGCCGGCGCGGTTTAGGGGGGGGGGGGGGGGGGGGGGAGGGGGAGGGGCCGTCATCTGCCGTTCGTGAGGCAGGTGGTTCTTGGTTTGTGTCTGTCAGACTGTGATTAACGCTTGCAAAGACAAGCAAGTGCCCCGTGCATACCAGCGTTGCGGAGCGCTGTCTGTGCCGCGATCGCTCTCAGCTGACTGACCGTTGTACGACTTCTGGCCCGCCGACGCTGACGCTCGCGGTGGAGTCGCGTCGCCGTGGCATTGCATGGCGACGGAGGTCAGACACATTGGACATCAGACGGGTCCGGGTCCGGCTGTTCGTCGCCGTCCGTGACGTCTCGTCCGACCGATCACCGCCTGTCCGCCGCCCTGTCGGTCGTGCGCCCCCGTTGATGCCGCCGGCCGCCGGCCACCGCGCAGATGCTGGACTCGCGCCAGATGCCGATGTACGAGGAGTCCGACGAGGACCTGGGCGCCGGCATGGCCGAGAATCAGGACCTGCAGAGTCGCGAGAAGATGGTGGCCGTGCAAGGCCAGGACGGCCAGCAGTACGTGGTGCTGGAGGTCATCCACCTGCAGGTTAGCAGCGGGCACCGGAGCCAGGGCGACGACCGGCCAGCTGTCGGGGGGGGGGGGGGGGGGGGGGGGGGGGGGGGGGGGGAGTGGGAGCGTGTGCCGCGCACTCCTTTGGGAACAGGCTCAGGTCACGCCGCGTGTGATAGCCTGCCAAATGGGATTGGTGTGCTGTAACGACAATGTGCGTGCGCGGCGTTGCTGGGCCCGTCGAACGTTGCTGTGATCATCACTGGGTGAGCGCTGTGGTCATCACCGGGTGAGCCGCATCAATAGGGCCGTCGCGCAGCGCTGATGATTACTGTAGCCGTTATGCGGCGGCGGGCGCCGGAGCCGCGGTTGTCGCCGCGTCACAGCCGCCGCCGCCGCCGCCGCCGGCAGGACGCCAACGGCGAGGAGCAGACGGTGGCCGTGGTGCCGGACTCGGCGCTGGGCCAGTCGGGCGCCGGCATCGACATGCTGTCGGCCGCCGCGCCGGCCGCCGCCATCGACGCCGGCGCGCTCTCGGCCGAGGTGAACCTGGCGGACGGCCTGCCGGCGGGCCTGCAGCTGCCGGCGGCCGGCGGCGCCGAGGAGCCGCCCCCGCCGGCCCGGCACGCCCGGCGGCCGCCGCCGCGTCGACGACCACGCCGTCCAGAAGAGCAAGCAGGACATGCAGAACTGCTTCGGCTTCGATGTGAGTCGGCCGGTGCTGCAGCGTTCACCTTGGACCGGCGGAGAGGCTTGAACATAGAGTGGACTATGTAATGGGGTCCTAGAAATTTTGGATGCAGATGCCCGGACCAGGTGCCGGTGAACAACTCACCAAGCTCAGGTCAGCTGTCTCATTAAGGACAGCTGTGCAGGTCCAGGTGGATTCCAGACTCGGGGCGGTGCGTCTTCATTATTGCGAGGATATTTCTAGATTTTAGCGTGATTTCTAGAATGTACAAAACATCCATAGTTCCACACCATACCTGCCGATTGTTGTCACGTATGGCGTCCTCACCGACTGCAGCTCCTCCGCCGACCCGCACCGCCGTCGTGTCGTCTTTTCCGTGCCCAGAGTGGTGGCGCGTGACCTTGCATGAGCCCGCGCCCGTCCCTGCTGACGCCGCGCCTCACTGCTGCAGGACGAGGAGGACGAGGTGGACTTCATGGCGACCGGCAAGAAGGAGGCCGTCGATATGATGTAGGCGACCCGTCACCTCTCTGACGAGACGGTCTCGGGCGGACAGTGACTATGGAGGCGCCACCGCTCCGCCAGCGGGGTGGGCGCCGTCGGACCGCAGCGCGCGTGCGCGTCGGCTCGTGGGCGGGGTGTCCATCGCCCGCCGAAGCCTCTCGCCTGACCTGCGGGTGGCGGCGCCGGCGCCTGATCACGACCGCCGCGGCTCTGAAGGCCCCGCTCGGCCATCGGTGGCGGTCGCTGCCCGCCACTACACTGCAGCATGACGGGGCGGAAGCGGTGTGGTGGAGCCTGCCGCAGCCAGGCGGTGGCGTACGGCTCGGGCCGGTCGCGCAGTATTGTGTGTGGCTGTTCACTGCCCGGATGCGGCAATATCGCATCGAGCCGAGCGTGTGTCGTGCTTGTCCGGGTGCACGCTTGATCTGTCCTTGGGCGACGCCGTGTGGGCCGTTCCGTACCGAGACGCTCGTAACGCACACCGGACTGGACGCCCGGCCGCACATCAGCAGGCTGAGCGACGACGGCGTTTGGTGGCCGTGACCCGATGCACGTCGATGACCTTTGTAACTTATATTTAGGTGATGCCGAGAGTTGGAATGCTGCCGCAGCACCAGGGTATGCAGGAGCCGCCGTGGTCGCTGGTTTTGTACGGAGGGTTTGTCGGTGGTTGGCGGGTCCGTGACGCGGCGCGAGCGTCAGCAGCGACTGGCGCTCGCGGGGCCCGGCGGCATTCGCTGCGTGTGTCGAGTGGCGCCGCCGCCTGGTGCGAGCCCGCTGCCGGGCGCGCGTCTCGGTGGCGTGGTCTCTTCTCTTGCCGCGTGGAGCTGGTGCGGCGGCGGCCGCTGGTGCAGCGCCTCTGGCCGGCGTGTGTGGCGATCTCTGCAGCTCGGCGCCGCGCTGACGGGGAGCCGACTGATGCCGGCGTCACTGCCGGGGCTGGAAACGCCCCGTGGCCCGGACCGGACCGGCGCAGTGGCCGGACGGGGACCTTCCGCCGGCCCGTGTGGGGTCCAGTTCTCGGTGTCGCGTTTTGGATTCAAGATTCGTGTTATCCGGACCCAATGTCTGTATTTGTGTCATGTGGTGGTGATACACCGTAGATCTATCCATGTACGTGTCTGTGTTACTGGCTGCGTTTTGAACAGTGGTCTTGTAGGGGTGAAGGGGGAGGACGTGGTTAGTAGATTGCCTCACGGATGCGGGGAGGCGTCTCGGTTGAGAACATTTTCACGCTGAATCGCAGCAACTTCACTATTGGGGGGCGAAGTCGCCGAGTTAAAAAATTAATAGATTGCAGGCTACATGGCCGATTAAGGACGGCTTTTTCGTAACATGCGCTTTCGACAATTTTTGAAATTTCCCATCAGTCTTAGATATAATGGCGTCTCAGGTGTTTCATGTCCTAATAATGGGGTCCCGTGTGACGTCTCGTCGAATAATAGCTTGCCTGTTACAAAGTGCACGTCGGGCTTTAACCAATGCCGGCTAATCCTCCCTGTGGTCCCAGCTGATCGCGGTTGTTGACTTGCTGCAGAAATTATTGATGACTTCCCGGAGCAAGATTGTCTCCACCGAGTTAGAAAGTGATATGCCTCTTGCAGGAGCTGTTGAATTGCCTTTACGAACGAACAAACCCTACCTGCGTCTTTGGATCATCACGTTTGCGGATGCCCTGTCAGGCTTTGCTAGCCCAGTTGCTACATGTGAAACCCACTTGCGACCTCCCTTCGCAGCGCCTTTCGTTCACAATTTTCCGAGCGCAGCATGTATAAACGTCGCCCTAATCATGATGGCGTGCAAGGGACGGCTATATCCATTGCCCCCCCCCCCCTCCTTTACACACACACACACACACACACACACACACACACGCACGCACGCACGCACGCACGCACGCACGCACGCACGCACGCACGCACACACACACACACACACACACACACACACACACACACACACACACACACACACACACACACACACACACACACACACACACACACACACACACACACACACACACACACACACACACACACACACACACACACACACACACACACACACACACACACGGTCACCGTCGGACCCATACAAATAACGTGTGGAAGCAACCCCGTCGCGGCTGGTGAGCATGTGCTCATTGTATGCGGTCTTGACGATTTTCTGGTAATGTACTGATTCATCGACAGTAGCCGTCTCCACCGGGCCGCGCTCCTCATAGGCGAAATTGATGCCTGAATTACTACCTTCGACGTCACAAGTGCACACGTCATCGCCAGCGACTATACTCCAAGCCGTAGCAACGGTTGTGACGCGCCTACCTAGGACGTCAGAGGTTGTTTGGGCGGCGTTTGGCAGTGGGGAACGCGGCTCCGATGATGGAGCTGGGGACTGACTGCATTGGACTGACCAGACATGAGGATGGCGGGACGCACCTGAATTGTACGCACTCACGTTTGTCGGCGGTTTTGCCACATCCCGCTGCTGTCACGTGAACCCGGGGAGTGCCGACAACTAGACGACTTCACCAGGTCAGTAACATCATGCTGGCACCGGAGAGTCCGATAAGGTGGATTCCAGCACGCTCGTGACACCAGATGAGCAGCTGGTGTTACGGTCTTCAACCTCGTTATGGTCCGTCACGCCAACCGACACCCAGACGTAGTCCTTCGTGTGACAGAGCTGCATCTGGAGAAGCAACCCGTTTTAGACCGGCGAAGTTTCTGCACACTGTTTACCGCCAGCTGCACCTCTTGCTCATGTGACTTACCAAGGGAAGGCGCAGGCTACAGAGGCGCGCGCGAGTGTGTGTCATTTGGGCTTTACCACGCACTCAGCTGCTCAGGCTTTATGGCGTCGCCTTCCTCGCCTATCGGCACAGAGGCGCGAGGACGAGCAAAACAGCTTTGCTACGACGCGCGAGCCGTCAAGTGGGCAAAGGAAAGTGCACCGCTTTGTTGGCAATGAAGGACATCGCCGAGCGGTGCCGGGTTGCATTAGATTTTGCCCAAGACTTTTGAAACCAAACAGCACCAAATCTATACTGATTTCGTAAAAAAACATTCCTGTCATTTTAAGGTGTTTGTCGTCATCGCGTTGCCAGCTTCGGTAGGCACAAGATAACTTATTTGGCCTATTCACGGGGCCGACGACTGAAGCCGACGGTGTGCGTCGTATGGCAAATATTTCTGTCAAATTGTTACCACCGAATGGCATCAAGAATGGTCGATGTCACCCCTTGGGTGAAATATCAGACGCTGAGTCCGCTGTCTTTGCAGTTAGATTTTAAAGGCAATATTCCACATTTGAACACATCAAAGCAAGCATCAGATATGATGGAATAGGCTCACTTACAGCTATTGGTATACTTTGAAGTGGACGAGACCGCTCTAAATAACACGACGCCTGTTTAGACTGTGCCTATCATTCACCATTGTCTGACCGCGTCATTGTCTTCCTCTCCATATTTCCTAGCTCAACAAGTGACGAGATGGAACAATAGAAACTCGGCAGATTGAGAAACGCCACCCGACTTCTTCGGCAGTAACAGACTGCGCTTCAAAATCTCCTCAACAGTCACCCAGCGAGACAGGCGAGCCACTCTTGTCGATCTCTTTGCTCAAGATATGTCTGTGACGTTAGCTCTCTTGTTGCTTAGGATATGTCTGTCAACGCAGCCCACTTTGCGCCGCGTCGTGCCCGGGCCGAACGGCGGGACACGACGAATGTGCGCACGGGTTATCGTGCAGTGCCGAGTTTTGTAAGGACGCGCCCGGCAGGCAGCACGTGGCCCGTGCGCATGTTGCAGTGCTGTCCATTTGTTTTGCACAGACGGCGGCGCAATGTGAGCCGCACGAAACAGTGAAGGAGCCGCTCGAAACCGTGACCGCTCGGTGAGCACGGGTCGGAACGAAAGGAAGTTGCCACTGTGTGGTTGGGAATTGAACGAAAAATCGCGTCGCACTAGATGTGCCGTGGGATATGCTACACGTCGCGTGTACAGAGGCGGTCCAGATGTATTCGCCCGGATTTGACGGATTTTCGCGTTCTTTTGTCACACCTCGGCAGCCGAGAGTGGGTGGAGGCGCGAGTCTAATTGCAGAGCTTCCGCCAGCGCACCGTCAGCAATTCATGTGGACAACTCTAGTTTGTGCAGCGCACGGTTACGCTAGCTATCGTAGGGCAAGCCGAGAATGTCGGCACCCCGGAAAACGTTGCTGAATACAACACGATGTCGTCGAAACTGTAGCCAGGG